ATAATGCACAGAACACCATAAGCAGAGTTATTCATATGTATAGCTTGTAAGCAGGAAGGATAATGCACAGAACACCGTAAGCAGAGTTATTCATATGAAAAGCTTGTAAGCAGGAAGGATAATGCACAGAACACCGTAAGCAGAGTTATTCATATGTATAGCTTGTAAGCAGGAAGGATAATGCATAGAACACCGTAAGCAGAGTTATTCATATGTATAGCTTGTAAGCAGAAAGGATAATGCATAGAACACCGTAAGCAGAGTTATTCATATGTATAGCTTGTAAGCAGGAAGGATAATGCACAGAACACTGCCAGCTTGTTATAAATTGGGTCAATATTTATTCAAGCAGACATGTCCTTTAAACAAATATATTAAAATGAATTTATACTTTTAAAAGAAAGTTGTAAGCATATCACAAAAGGAAGTCTTGTTGCTGTATGAACTTACTATTATAAACTACAGTTGTTTTTTTGTGTGCAGTCCCATCATTCGCCAGCCTCTGACCATCATTTACGCCGAGGGCGACCCAGAAGGTCCTCTTCGACTGGCAGTCTGGAGCTCACTCTCTCCCAGCGTGTGAGACATTTTTCAGATGTTTTTCAAGAACTAGATGCAGCAGTGACTCAAGCAGCATTAGATCCCCCTCATCTTCCTGAATCCTGTGTTCGACAGTGGATAGCCGAACTTGTGTCTGTTGTGGCGGAATTGCATAAGTTAGGGATGGTCTGTCAGTAAGTTTAACCTTTATGTTGTCAAAGATTTGGTTAACAAACAATAAAAAGGTAACAAATTGTTGAGATTATTCCTGGTTTGTTTCATAAACTTTGCCGTTAATTCTTTCAAGTGCATGAGGATTTAACAATTAATCAACTTAATTATGTAAAACTGTGGTATTATAATGTTTTTACTTGTTTGTTTCCAGGGACCTTCACCCAGACAATATATTACTTGGAGAACGAGGTAATGTGTGCTATTTAATGCAAAGCAACTACTTATAATTCTTTTAAATATGGAGATAATGTAGGGATCAAAGTAACTAGATTCAATATAATTCACAGATACCTCTGGAGTTAGTTGGTTGTCCAAGAATTAGTTGTTGGTATGTGACCATGTTAGCTCCTGTACTGTTAACTGAAGGTCCTATTTTCGATATTAGTTTGGGATCAAGTGTTAGAACACCAATCTTCTTAGCTTAAATCCTGGGTTCAAGTACTGATTTTAGACAACATTATTCAAGTGTTAAATACCAATCCTAGATTAAATGTTAGAATACCAGTTCTATCACTTGGAGATTCTTGGGTCAAGTACATGTATGGGATCAAGTAGCTAATGTGTTAGAATACCAGTTCTATCACTTGGACATTCTTGGGTCAAGTGCGTATTTGGGATCAAGTAGCTAATGTGTTAGAATATTTGTCTTCTTAACATAAGGTTCTTGGGTCAAGTACGTATTTGGGATCAAGTAGCTAATGTGTTAGAATACCAGTTCTATCACTTGGAGATTCTTGGGTCAAGTATGTATTTGGGATCAAGTAGCTAATGTGTTAGAATATTTGTCTTCTTAACATAAGGTACTTGATTCAAGTACACGTATGGGATCAAGTAGCTAATGTGTTAGAATATTTGTCTTCTTAACATAAGGTTCTTGGTTCAAGTACATGTATGGGATCAAGTAGCTAAGGTGTTAGAATATTTGTCTTCTTAACATAAGGTCCTTGGTTCAAGTACATGTATGGGATCAAGTAGCTAATGTTTTAGAATATTTGTCTTCTTAACATAAGATCCTTGGTTCAAGTACATGTATGGGATCAAGTAGCTAATGTGTTAGAATACTGTTAATTAGAAATACTAGGTAAAATTTTGGATCAGGTGGTAAGGTCACTTGTTAACTGTTTTGTTAAAGTTGTTTCTTGAAATTGAGTAAAAAATTGCTTAAGGTCATTACAGAACTTTTTTGACTAATTCTCAACACCTTCAGTTTTATTGTTTGTTTATTACTCATTAAGTTAATACTTATTTTTATTATATTTAAAACTCGTAGGCCATATCTTGTTAACTTACCAGTGCCAGTGGAATCGAGTGGACAAACCTGTAAATAAACATGCTTGTGATAAACTGTATGCTGCACCAGGTGTGTGTTTTATGAATCATATTCTTGGAACATTTAAATAAATAAAACTGTTTAGAAGAGATAAGAATGACACAATAGTTTGGTAACCTTAGTTATAACATGCTTGTGATAAACTGTATGCTGCACCAGGTGTGTGTTTTATGAATCATATTCTTGGAACATTTAAATAAATAAAACTGTTTAGAAGAGATAGGAATAACACAATAGTTTGATAACCTTAGTTTTCTTACACATTTTAATGATTTAGTTGGTCATTGTGGCATGATGTTTGTACTTAATTTTAAAAATAATGGGACCACTTTCATAATGGAAACCATCGTTTTTGTTATGAATTTAATACTGAAATGAGTAGTTTCCAATCTTCCATAAACAGTCACATGTTTTAACCATAGATATTTGTCACTGGTCATAGAAATGTGTCTCAAACAATTATGTAAACAGGCTCAAAACTATAGAATATACTGTACCCTATGAACCAGAACCATACATCCACGTAATGCTGTTAATACAGCCACAAAAACCTGGCCCATTTTTATGTAAACTTGTGAACTTATAGAACCATGTAAACCCAAATCATAAATCAACATAAAGCTGTTTAATAAAGCCACAGAAACCTGACCTGTTTTATGTAAACTTATAGAACCTTGTAAATCTGAATCATACATCTATGTAAAGGTATTTCATGCAACTACAGAAACCTGACCTGTTTTATATAAACTTGTTAACTTATAGAACCTTGTAAACGTGAATCATACATCTATGTAAAGCTGTTTAATACAGCCACAGAAACCTGACCTGTTTTATGTGAACTTATAGAACCTTGTAAACCTGAATCATACATCTATGTAAATCTGTTTCATACAGCCACATACACCTGACATGTTTTATGTAAACTTGTGAACTTATAGAACCTTGTAAACCTGAATCATACATCTATATAAATCAGATATAAATGGCATAGGTTTAGCCATTTTACATTCATTGTTAATAACTAATGAGGATATGGTTGGAAGAGCTAGTAAACATTTAGGGTGATCATTGTATAATTAGTGTTGATGTTTTGCTACATGTTGAGATGAAGTAACATTAAATTTTAGTTCCTAAATTTTATAAAGCAAACTCTGAGGCAAGATTTATCATTAGGGAATTGTGATAATTGTTTAAAAGGTGATGTGGAACAAATTTGAGAAAATTTTTAAAATTGAGTTGCTTTTAATTCAAGATAGACAAGTTCTCGAACAAAGAAAAACTGAGAAAGTAAACATAATTTGCTTACTAAAGGTGAAAGTGAGGAATAAGTAGTTTGAGAGGTTTAAATTGACAGATAGTTTGGAATATATTCGGATCTATAGGAAGGCTAGCGTTGTTGTTAAAAAGAAAGTAGGAAATCCAAAAAGGCTTATGAGAAACTGGTGATTGATAATGTTGAAACTGTTTTAACAGCAAGGATATTTAAGTACGTTAAATGTAAGCAAAATTTCAAAATGTGGATGAGACCCTTAACATCTGTCCTACTGTTTATAGCTTCCTTTAAGCAGCCATGCTTATTTTCACATATTTTTGGTATTTTTTACTCAAATATTATATACTGCCTCATGGGTCAGTGCTTGGGCTGATGACATTAAATTCTCGGGTATTTTTAGCTGCATCGAGGGTATTGAAGCATTACAGAATGACTTAGATCATTTAGTAAGTTGGACAAATATTGGACAAAGGAATTTAATTAAAGTAAATCAAAAGTAATAAATTTGGATTGTCATAATATGGATCACACATTTAATGTAGGGAACTGAAGAAAAGGATCTTGGCATTGAAGTAGTATTCTAACGGGGGGTAGTAAAGTAAACAGAGTTTTAAAGTGTATTTATAGACATAGATTACTGGCCAAATTGGTGATTACCTCTATACAAATCACTAGTTAGTCCTCAATATTGTATACAGTTTTAGTTTTCTTATGTAAGAAAATATATTTTATTGGAAAGATGCAGAGCGTTACTAGGTAACTCCAGGGACGGAAGGGTTATCTTACAAGGATAGATTTGAGTTACTAAGGTAACTCCAGGGACAGAAGGGTTATCTTACAAGGATAAATTTGAGTTACTAAGGTAACTCCAGGGATGGAAGGGTTATCTTACCAGGATAGATTTGAGTTACTAAGGTAACTCCAGGGACAGAGGGGTTATCTTACAAGGATAAATTTGAGTTACTAAGGTAACTCCAGGGACGGAAGGGTTATCTTACAAGGATAGATTTGAGTTACTAAGGTAACTCCAGGGATGGAAGGGTTATCTTACAAGGATAGATTTGAGTTACTAAGGTAACTCCAGGGATGGAAGGGTTATCTTACAAGGATAAATTTGAGTTACTAAGGTAACTCCAGGGACAGAAGGGTTATCTTACAAGAATAGATTTGAGTTACTAAGGTAACTCCAGGGATGGAAGGGTTATCTCACAAGGATAGATTAATATATTTTAACTTATTTTCTATTTAGAAAATAAAGTTAAGAGGTGATCGTTTTGAAGTTTACAAGATTTTCAGAGGATTGATAACAGATTTCTTTGTGCTGTATTCTGAGATAACGGGGCAAAAGGTTGCAAATTCAAGATATGGAAAAGACTGATTAGGCTCTAGTTAAGACAGTAAGAGGGTGATCGACTTATGGAATGACTTGCTGTCGGCAGCAGTGGAGGGTAGCATGTCACAGAAATTTTAATAGGAGAATTGATTATTTAAAAATAAATGTTGGATTTAAATTGTTATTTTTCTTAGGTGGGTCACAGACGGTCCGTTGTTGACTGCATTTTATGGTAAATTTGACTTTTACAACTGTGCAATTTTTTCTCAAAACTATAAAAGATTTTGTCTTAAATAATAATGTAAACTTAGTATAACCATGTAAACCTACCTTATACAACTGTGTAAACCTCTTTCATCTAGCCATAGAAAACTGTTTTATGTAATCTTATGTTAAATAACCATGTAAAACTGTTTCATACGGCCATAGTAACCTATATCATGTAAACATAGTTCATCTAGCCATAAAAACCTGCCTCATGTAAACTTGTGTCATATAACTATGCAGATGTGTCTCATATAACCATAAGAAGCCTGTCTCATGTAATCATAGAAACATATTCATGTATGTATAAAAGAATAAAAAGTTCCAGTAATATGATATTAAGCTGAATGTATTTATTCTACAAGAGTATACATGTTTTACGTTTTGTTTTTTGTTCATACTGAGTGCTTAGAAAAACATGTTGTGATTTTTATCTGTAAAAATATGAAACTATGTATATGAAATTCTTACTAAAGTCTGAATTTAACTTTCATAACCATGTTAACACTTCTTTTAGAGGTGGGAAGTATCTTTGAGGTTACCTCAGCTTGTGATTGGTGGAGTGTGGGGGCCTTATTGTTTGAAATGCTTACTGGTCGGGTAAGAAAATTATTCAGAGTAATATTATTTGATTCTTAATACTTAGATATGAGCTTAATCATATTCTGATTGTTCTTAACATCTAAATGTATTATGGTTCTTAGCATGCGAGTGTATTATGGTTCTTAGCATGCGAGTGTATTATGGTTCTTAGCATGTGAGTGTATTATGGTTCTTAGCATGTGAGTGTATTATGCTTCTTAGCATGTGAGTGTATTATGCTTCTTAGCATGTGAATGTATTATGGTTCTTAGCATGCGAGTGTATTACGGTTCTTAACATGCGAGTGTATTATGCTTCTTAACATGCGAGTGTATTATGCTTCTTAGCATGCGAGTGTATTACGGTTCTTAACATGCGAGTGTATTACGCTTCTTAACATGCGAGTGTATTATGCTTCTTAGCATGCGAGTGTATTATGGTTCTTAGCATGCGAGTGTATTATGGTTCTTAGCATGCGAGTGTATTATGCTTCTTAGCATGCGAGTGTATTATGCTTCTTAGCATGTGAGTGTATTACGGTTCTTAGCATGTGAGTGTATTACGGTTCTTAGCATGTGAGTGTATTATGGTTCTTAGCATGTGAGTGTATTATGGTTCTTAGCATGCGAGTGTATTATGGTTCTTAGCATGCGAGTGTATTA